GAATATAGAAGTATCTTATTTTAGAATGATTTTCATTTGGTGTCACGTGATAGTTAGTCTGATTTATCATATAACATCACAATTAGGAGTACTAGTATACCCCAAATCACTCGAATAGAAAACGAATTCCGATGAGGTTGTGATTATTCAGATTTTTGACAACGTGTAGGGGTGAATTGTTAATAGGTGAAGTGATGTTAAAAAAATATAAGTGGTTCATCGTCTTGCGTACACCGCAACAACAATTCTCTCACCAACTGAAAAAACTGATGCGTAAACAATTAATTAATTATCATGTTTACCATAGTGTTTTCAATATATTCGTTTTGTGATATAACAGTGTGTACATTCTAAATCTGCAAAGAGCAAAAATATAATTTCACCCACAAACCTGCATTTTTACTCTATTTAAATACAATCTGACTAGTTTAACATGTTTGGTCACATGGTCGTGATATCGAAAAAAAATGAAATCAATTTCTCATAATTATATTCCCCGCAGTGAGAACAATTTCTTGACCCAACAGTTTGTTTCTACAGGGCATAATGCAACAACATTTTAGGTGATCATCGTAAAAAAATAATTCATACGAAATGTGAAAATGCTATCAACTCTTAAAGTGTGACCGTTCTCCTATATGTGTGGGAAATCTCAACATGCAAAATACATGTATATTCTTTTACACATTTGTTACCGCACGATTTAGACTCGAATGACATAATACTACACTATGGCCTCTTCGATACGTTTATATGTGATCGACTGTAAAAAGACCCCAATAATGGTATGTGCTTTTTTCATTAAATGTACATATAACTATTTTTTGTTCGTTTTCTTTTAAGAGGTCAATCACTGTGATCCAAATCCTTGTCAGAATGGTGGTGACTGCAACAATGGCATTACTACTTACATGCGTCAATGTAGCGAGGGATTTGCATTGAAATATTGTGAAATAGGTATGTCATTTACATAAAATGCTGGGATGGTATTGTTCCATTGTTGGTCGGACGATAGTATTTATTACTATTCGTGCCGTCTCGTCATACAATTCCAGTCACAAGCCGTTTTTGA